AAGACCTAGTGTTTTTGCAGTATTTTGACACGCAAATGTATGACGTCACCATTTCAACCATCAATGAACGCATGGAACTAAAACAAAGCTTAATATAAAGGAAAAGCTGGAGAGGTGACGGAATTACCTACGATGTCGGAATATACCGCGTTTACCCTAGCCACTTCTATCTTATTTGTTTACTTTTTTATCTTGTTTTATTCACAGAAGGCATCAAGCATCTGCCTGATTTTCCAGAATGACATCTGTTCTGTATGCCAGTCATAGTGGGAAACCAGAGCTTTTTTAGAATCAGTTCAGTTTTAATTTCCTCATTTACTCAAGATTTAAATCAATTTTCTAAGTATGATGATGCTGGTATCCAGGATACTTTACTGGTCTACTTATAGGACTCAGAAATGAACTTGAGTTGAGGGAGAGTCTAAAAAACTCTAGCCTCCCAAGCTAACATTTTTATGGCAATACAATATAAGAAATTCATACATAATGAAAAAATTATTGAAAAAATGATACAAAATTTCTGTGTTTTCCTTCTTTTTTTTTTGTTAAATCCAGGAATAAAAATGTTACAAAAATGTTTAAAAGTTACGTTAAATAGGTCTTTTTAGTAATTTATCAATTACCAAAAATTTATAGGCTAACCACCATTCAATGTTTTGAGGTGACAAATGATTTTCAAGGTAAGCATTACCTGTGAATTGATATTTATCTCCATAAACGTGTAAACATTCATGATGGCGGCGGCTTCTGTACGATTTTTTTTAGCTGAAACTCGACGTATTTTTCGATGTACCTAGGTATGTGGAACGTATTCAATAGGCCAACGTGCAGACTGAAGATAAACATTCATACGTCCGCCGCTGTTAGAGATCAATTAGTTTTGAAATCCAGAAAATACGTGAGAAGGAAAAAATTTTTGAAAACAAGTTTATGATAACTTGAAATGAACAGCTCTATTCAAGTTCCAACGCCATTAAATCAAATAATATACGTTTGAAAATTACTTTTTAAAGACAACACTTCTAAAGAATCTAGTGTTTCCAATATTACAGATGTACAATGAATTTATAATTTTATTTTCGAATATTAAAAAAATTAATTTTTCAATTTATCTTAATATATAAATTTTTTTAATTATTTATTCTGTCATTTGATTCATGCATTGCCTCCAACTTCACACAAGTATGCAAAATTTCAGGTCAATTGGACAGGTAAAAGTGTGTCATATATCAGTTCAAAAATAATTTATTTTGTCATTTTATTCTTGCATTGTCTTCAACTTTACGCAAGTGTGCAAAATCAGATCGATAGGACAAGTAGAAGTGTGTTAAATTTTGATTATAAGATTTGTAGCAGACAGACAGACAAGCAAACAAGAAGTGAAGTTAAAGAGAAGTGTTGTAAAAAATGCTACACATTCCTGAGGCGAAAAATGTAAATAATGAAGAAATCACTCATATTAAAATAGAACGTTATTGTTATCTGGTTACCAGTGGTTAGTAAAAGCCATTAATAGCTGGCTACTTAAAAACTTGAACTCAGTAATGCTTATAAAAGTCAAGTTTTAATATTATAAATGGAATAGATTGTATCTATCAACCGAAAGTAATGTTATTAGCGTTTTAAAATTTTTTTTTTACAGAGAGCATAGTATCATGCAAAACCTATTACAGTACCACGCAACCATTTCCATCAGTTGTGTCACCACATAAATAAGTGAAGCTTAAGACTTGAATAAGGAAATACATGATTAGAATTTTAAAAATATATAGAAAAGTAGCTAAATACTTTTCCAAAGGAGGACCGAGACATTCGGTATCAGACGTAGCTTTTGGAGAAGAAACATTAGGGAAGTTCAACTTCTAAGTCGAACTGATCAATCCACTTTCAATTTAATTATAAAGAAAAAAAACGACATTTTCAGGTTGATTTATTACCGAATTTGAAGCAAACGACCAAATGAAAAAATTTGTTCGTCATAACCGATCAGTTTGTCAAGCAAAGCACATCTATCTCAGCAATCACTGTCATACTAATGAATAACTACTTTATCAACTTAAAATAAAAAATTTTCGATCCTTGCATTCAAAGCTATTGACTACCAGTCTTCCAAGTACAGAGTTGAGGGATACAAATTATTCTTCATGTGATAAAGCTCAATTAAAATGAGCAACAAGCGCTTCTGAATTATTACAAACAAAAAGCTACAATTGAACATAATCTAATCCATCAACATCAATAAGTACGTGGAACGGCCGTGAACATACGATGTCAGATGGACCATGCGCGTGTCTTACGATCTGTCACATGAAAGAGAGACCACTCAACTATCTAATGCGAAATTAAAGTTATCAAAAATATATTCCATTTACAAAATGCCAAGAAATCAAGGGGCACTAAGACTGATCAATCACTAAATTTTAAACGTCAACTTAGCGCAGATTCCATTAACTGGCACTGGGAGGTAATTTTTTCATCATAGTAAAATAATGCGTACCCACAGCAGTAAATGCAGATGGATTACTTTTCTAAGAATACGAGCCTTTTCAATGAACGAAGAAGAAGCACAGGAGATTACTTTCCAGAATGCCCAAGAGAGAACACCGAACGAACATATTATGTGTTTACGGAAATAGAAGGAAGTGATTATAAAAAGTAGATTAAGTAAAAAAATACATTGAATATGAGTACAGCGATTCAGGTACACAATTTAGTGTTGTGATAAAGGAATGAAGTAATTATTACAACTTTCTCGTAATGAACGCTTTAGAAATGCTAAAAATCTATAAAGCGTTTCAATCTTATACACAGCCAAACGACAGACAAACAAGCAAGGAAAGAAATGACAGCAGCGCACACATGCTACAGTAAACTTCAAGATAAATTGGCACATAACGAGTATAAAATACAGTTTTCATGGTTTTTGCCTTAATTGAGTATTACAAGTGGCAGTATTAAGCAGTTTTTATTTGATAGAGTAGTAGACAGTAGTAATCCTCAAAGTTCAGAGAAACAATACCTTGAAATCATACACACTATCATTATGAGATCTTTTGCGTAGCGAAATTTCAAATGAAAATGCTAACATATTTCCGATTCAAAAAATTCATAATACATCAGACTCTACAAATAAGTCGCAACAGACTGTGGACTTCAATATTTTGATACGTAAAAAAGATCAGGAAAATGTGTGAAGATGCGGAGACTAGGAGAGGATTAACTAAATTAATAATTTAGTTGAACATTTGTCCAGATTCAATGACCTCGCAGAATACGCCTTTCAATGTGCATGAGGCCAGAACCTTCTCGGGCATTATTAGTACTTTGTCGAGAGGATGACATGGGTAGTTTCTGACTATATTTCAATTTTGTTGAGAGTATTTCAAATTGTAGACAAATTTCATGACAATAATTTCGAAGATGATGACTGGGGCAATTCTTTGCTGAGGCTGTAACGAGCGGCAACGAGGAGCTCGGCAGATTCATGGAAGGGGAGACCGGTGACTTCACAGCATTTTCGGATGACAAGAAGCGGAACTTGCACGCGCCAGGTGTACATGTGAGGCTGCAACGCAAGTCAACCATTAGTTTCTACTATTCAGCGTACACGATTTTAAATGATTTGTTAGAACTCTGCAGTAAATTGTTAGCACGACTATGAATGATACAATGTAAAATAGCTCATTTCTATCAACCTAGCCTAGTTGCGTGAAGACTCTCTGTCCACCCTGGTGTATGCGAATCCACTTGTTTTGTGAGATTTACCAGCATTTGTCGAGTAAAGTCTATCTTGTAATTCAGTGCAGGGTTATCACTAATTCAACGCTGTGCTGGTCAGGATTATACTCACAGGTCTGGGGTCCCTCTTGAACCTGGCATTGATCTCAGGTTCCATGTTCTCTTCCAGGAAGGTGGCGATGGTGGTGATCTGGGCATGAGACAGCAGGGCGAAGTACAGGTACGTGTTGAGCATCTCAGTTGCGTTCACGCCACGCAAGTATGTCTGTAGAACATATTTCTTAACTGTTTTTCAAGGAGCAGTAACATTATAACAACAGAAGAATATTACATCGTTAAATACATGTAATAAAATTTATTTTTAAGTATCGAGACTGCGATACTGGAGAGAAGACATGCAATCATACGTCCAAATAATGAATAAGAAAAAATGCAATTCTTAGTACAGCATTACGCTTGAGCTGCCTTTCACTTGCATGTAGGATGCATTCAAAATTTCAACATGCATTTAATTCAAAGCAAACAGACACCGCATATATAGATACCATATAAATAACTAGATATTTGATCAATAGACTAACACTACTCACGGAATGCCATAAGTTGAGTTCCTTGCCGCAAAGCACATTCCTGAGCCACGACAGCTGTGAGGGCAGCCACTCAATGAGCTTGTTACCCTTAAAGTCGGACCAAATCTTGTGCATGACCGTACGCAGGTTTTCCGGCTCGCAGTGAGGAGGCACGGGGGCCTCCGCCTCAAAGCAGCCCAGCAACACGTCCATTGGGTCCTCTGAAATAAAATGTTGGGGTTAACGAGTTGTTCAGCTGCGATGAAGAATTAATTAACGCAAATTGGGTGTAGGTCAAGTGCGAATCGTACCCATTGGGTCCTCTGAAATCATATGTTGGGGTTAACGAGTTGTTTAGCAGCGATGAAGAATTAATTAACGTGAATTGGGTGATGGTCAAGTGCGAATCGTACCCATTGGGTCCTCTAAAATAAAATGTTGGGGTTAACGAGTTGTTCAGCTGCGGTGAAAAATTAATTAACGTGAATTGGGTGTCGGTGAAGTGCGAATCGTACCCATTGGGTCCTCTGAAATCAAATGTTGGGGTTAACGAGTTGTTCAGCTGCGGTGAAGAATTAATTAAAGTGAATTGGGTGTCGGTGAAGTGTGAATTGTACCCATTGGGTTAGCTGAAATCAAATGTTGGGGTTAACGAGTTGTTCAGCTGCGGTGAAGAATTAATTAAAGTGAATTGGGTGTCGGTGAAGTGTGAATTGTACCCATTGGGTTAGCTGAAATCAAATGTTGGGGTTAACGAGTTGTTCAGCTGCGATGAAGAATTAATTAAAGTGAATTGGGTGTCGGTGAAGTGTGAATTGTACCCATTGGGTTAGCTGAAATCAAATGTTGGGGTTAACGAGTTGTTCAGCTGCGATGAAGAATTAATTAAAGTGAATTGGGTGTCGGTGAAGTGTGAATTGTACCCATTGGGTTAGCTGAAATCAAATGTTGGGGTTAACGAGTTGTTCAGCTGCGGTAAAGAATTAATTAACGTGAGTTTGGCGTTGGTGAAGTGCGAATTATACTGCTTTCATGACCCTGAAGTGCCATTAGGTGATAATTGCAACGAGTACCTACTCCTACTGAATAGAGTCTCAAATGATTATGACGGTATGGGTCGTATGGATTCCTTACTATTCAATGGACTGTTTCTATCAAATAAGATATTATTTGAGAGAAATTTGAAAAAATCAACTAGCTAATTCATAATAGCTGCAGTATAATTAAATTTAAGCATAAAAAACGTACTGACGCATTAAGTAGAAAAGTTGAATTTTAGAGTGATACACGCATAATGGATGCATTATAACAATAAATAACAATATTTTACCATAATAAAGATTCCAACGAGTCAGTGAAAATTATTCTAATTGAAATGAATGAGCTCTAACCTTCATCATCGAGATTGCTGTTCTCGAGTGAGATGGTAGAATTGGGGTGCAAGTCCTTCTCTGGCGATCCGGTATTGAACCAAGAGTCGTCGTTATTGCGGTTCTCGGGTTCTGCCCCAGATTCTGATGCTACCAGGCGATCAGGCGGTGCTTCTTGAGAAGCACATTCTGAGACATCGTTTGCAAGTGACTGAGTTGTAACTGGTTTTGATTTTCCTCTGGATTCGAGCGACGAATGATCTGAAGGACTTTTACCCTTCAGCCAATCTTTTAAGGACGATTGTTCTCCACCAGAAGCTTTTGACGTGCCTGGTCTCACATTCCGGCCTGACTTCTGATTACTACTACGCTTGCTTCTACTCTTAGAATAACTCGCAGTGGCAGCCAATTTTTTACCCTTGCTGGACAAGTTTTTATTTGATTTTTCACATGAATTTTCATCCGTAACATGGTCTAAGTAAAACCGGGGTGGAACCGAAGGGTTACGTTTAGACCTTCCTGACGTAGTGGATGAATTTTGAATTTTTGAGTCAACAACTTTGGGATCATTTCTGGCTTCAAGTGTCAGTCCATCACTGAATACAACATTTCCTGTTCTATGTGAAGGGGATCTTCTAACAGTGGCATCATCGTCAGGCGAATCCTTGCAGTTATTACGAATAGGCTGGGAGTGGGAAGACGATTTTCCTATTTCATTAGAAATTGCTTCATCAAATGCAGTGACGGGCACATTGTCATCAAGAAGTTTTGTAGGATTGCTTGATTTGGAATTTACTTTAACAGGAGACTTTTTTAATGCCTTAGAGTTCCCCGCAATAGAACTCGCACAAGAAGTAGAGGATGAACTAATCCCTGTTTTCTTAGGCCTCCCTCTTTTCCGAATACCAACTTGTGTTGTGTTAGACGGCTTATCAATGATTCCATGAAAGACAGTTAATTTTTCAGGGTCGGTAGTAGAATCTAAATCAGGAAGTTCATCATCGCTGTTAAAAGTTTCCATCAAGCATTTCGATGTAATTTGTTTGGAACGCTGGATCTTTGCCCTGGCAAGCTTTCTCGGAGACAACACTTCTCCTTGACTATTCCGTTTCTTAAATTTATGAACTGCAGAGCTCGCTTTTGCACAGGATTTTTTCATACTACTGGTCTTCTTACTTGAATTCTCAGTACATGCTTTTCGGGCTTTTGTGTTTTTCTTTGTTTCTTTTTTCTCTTGCAAAACACAGGGCTTAGCTTCAGTCACACCGTTTCTCAATGGAGGAGTCATGCTTTCCATTAAAGCCAGATCAAATTCAGTTTTCCCTTCATCAGAGGTCTGTAAACTTTCTTCCGTGCTTTGATATTTAATTTTTCTCTTTTTGACGGGAGGTTTCTTTGTAACATAAATAGCATTGGGCAGCTTCTGTGTCTTAGTTGAGGGGCGCGGCTTAGATGTCGCAGACGTAGAAGAGGAAGATGAAGTTGCATCACTTGCACCATTGGGCAAGTCAGGACATGTTTCTAAACTAACATATGGAGTTTCATATACAATTTGTTTAATTTCCTCCGGTGAACAAATCGCCGAAAGAGGGTAGTTCTTGGGCATCGCTTTCGACGTTGCAGGGAGGGTTTGGTCAAGCGTGCAGCTATTGTGGACGATGGGGCTATACTCCTCCAGATGATCTTCAAGTCTTGTAGGTGGTCTCGCGAGTGGGCACGCGTCAGGGGAGGTGGCAGCGGCCGGTGTTATCTGTAAACAAGATTGCAATGAATCTTCTCGTCCTAAAGGTGAAGTGCTCAAAGTCTTACGAGAAGATTGATGCATGCCATTAGTCTTCAGTGAACATTTAGTAGAAGAGAACGAGTTCAGAGGATTATCATTGATAGATAAAATGGAGTTATTTGTGCGACTAGATTGCCTGCCGAGTTGGCACGTCATAATCACAGGACTAGTAGAATCCTGCCGTGATGGCATCATAGAAGCTGATATATTATCAGGGATTTCATTGTCTGAGCTTCTTTCACGCGGAAATAATTTATGAGCTCTTGGTAATCTAGGCGGATCTTCACCGCTAATATTGGGGCTACTGTGCATGACGTCGTGCTTATCAGCAGGAATTTCTTTTGAATGAATAAAAGTAATAGAACCAGTGTCAGGAATTCCGTTCTCATCTACATAGAAGCTCCTTTCTTCCAAGTATGCAAAGCGTGTGTCGGGAACTTCTGAAGTTTTTTCACTGGACTCGCAACCTGTATTCTCCACTTGACAGTTAGGACTGGATTTGGAGGGAGAAATTGCACCAAAACTTCCATATTGACGAGTAATAGACGAGTCAGTACAATTTTTAGCAGCCGGCTGTGAACGGAACCATCTATCCTTTGCTGGAGGGTCCACCAAATTGGCCACAGGTGCAGGTACGACTGATCTTAGGCTTCGGGTGCGTCTCACCCACGGATTACCTTCAGAGACTTCATAATCTTCCACTCGCTTGCCGAATTTCTTAACATCAGAAAAATATGGAGGAAGATTGGCAGGTTTGATGGCATCCATCGCACTGGTGTCATTGTTTCCGGTCCTGGAAGAAGTGAACGTTGGTGTCATCATATTTTCACTAGCGGACAACTGAGAATCGTTGATATCTTCATGACAAGAATCGGGATCAATTTGATCAAGTATTTCTAAATCTTGTACATTTTCCGATACATCGGCGTCAGGGTTGTGCGAGTACTCAGTGGAATTCTCCTCATTACATAAACGTGCATCCTGTAGAGATAGAGACTTGTGATCAATTGACCCGTCTGCCGTGTGTAGATAATCACTGAACATGTCTGGACTGCATGCTGACATCACATTCCCATCCGAGTCAATGTTATTATTCAAGAAAGTATAATTCCCAGGCGTGTGAACAGCGGACAAAGAAACAATTGAGAGCGGCTCAAACTCATCAGTCCCACATGAAGAATAAAATTCGTCCTGAAGATCACTTTCGGGCACATTTCTTTCAGGAGACCGGCTGTCTTCAATCAAAGGGTCTTGATAAATTGATGGACTGAATGGATCGTAGGAAGAATGGGGCGACGAGCTCAGCTCATCTTTATAGCCTGTTATTTTCTTTCTTAATGAAGTTCTCGTTTCAGAACCAGAACTACTAGAAGTACCGTTGTGGGAAGAATTATTTAGAGAACCAAATGATTTCATTTTCAACTTTGAATCACAATTTTCAGAGCTGTTGATGGAAAAATTAGATGGACTTATCACGTCCTGAGTAGCTCCATGATGTGCGCTATTTACACGCATAAATTTCCAGCGAGAATTCGACACAAAAGGTGGAGGAGTGGAATCATGAGGTGGTGAAGACGCTGCATTATGAGGTGAAGACGCCACATTAGGAGATAAAGACGTAGCATTATCAGGTGACGACGGTACATTGTGAGCAGAAGACGCTGCATTAGGCGGAGGCGGGCTTATATTAGATTGTACAGCTAAGCATTGCGACGATTTGACCCTATCTTGCTTACTGGCCTGAAGATCAAATATGGGAAAATTCCTCGAAAATTTTTCTTTAGGCTCTTCGAAAGACACAGCTATTGGCTGGTCGTTGGATTGTACAGGAGGGCAATATACTACGCTGTCGTCAGGTGATGTGCTGTCAAATACACTATACTTCTCTTGCCTTGAGGCGCTGCAGCGAGGCACTCGAACTCGGGCTTCTCGTTTCTGTTTCTTTGCTTTGGCTCTTCCTTCTGTCAATGTGGCACACCTGAGGGAAATAGAGTATGATGTAGAAATTATTGCTAAAGAGACCAGATAAAAATTATCGAGAAAAACTATACTTAGAATAGAATATCGCTAAAATCAGCCATAAGTAGCTAGAAAAATATAAATGGCTATATAAATTTTATTCCAAAACCTTCAAATGTATACACAATCAATATATTATTAAATTATCACCTCAATAAGCACAAGAAAATTGGAAGAGAAGTAGAATGATCAAGATAACTCAAGTACTATTCATACTAGTAATCGAGCTCTTAGTACTCAAATAGTATGACAATGATTTCAAATTCTAGTGTTAAGACAACGTTAAAATTAATAAAAGTCATTGTGATAATTCATGCATTGTGATGCATGTTTACAAAATGAAATGCAACAAAATAAAAATTATTTTCAACATAACCAACGACAGAGAACAATTATTAATACAATTACAATTTAGCCATTTCCGACATAGTTACATATTTAGTATAACAATCAAAACAAAATGCACGTTTACAAATGAAATGCAACAAAATAAAAATTACTTCCCAACATAACAAACAACGGAGAGTAATTTTTAATACAATTACGATTTAGCCATTTCCGACATAGTGACATATTTAGTATAACAATCAAAACAAATGCACGTTTACAAAATGAAATGCAACAAAATAAAAATTACTCCCCAACATAACCAACGGCAGAGAGTAATTTTTAATACAATTACAATTTAGCCATTTCCGACATAGGCTTTTCTGGTGATGCCGCCTCCGCCGCTGGGGCGTCAGGTGAGCGCTGTAGACGCGCCCGCTTGCCCGTTCTGACGACGCGCGTCCTACGGCCGGCGTCACTCAGTGCCGCGTCAGCGCCTTGGTCAGGAGACACCACCTGCGCGATCAGACGTCGTCAGTACAATGTCAGNCGTCAGTACAATCTGTGCGATCAGACGTCGTCAGTACAATCTGTGCGATCAGACGTCGTCAGTACAATCTGTGCGATCAGACGTCGTCAGTACAATCTGTGCGATCAGACGTCGTCAGTACAATCTGTGCGATCAGACGTCGTCAGTACAATCTGTGCGATCAGACGTCGTCAGTACAATCTGTGCGATCAGACGTCGTCAGTACAATCTGTGCGATCAGACGTCGTCAGTACAATCTGTGCGATCAGACGTCGTCAGTACAATCTGTGCGATCAGACGTCGTCAGTACAATCTGTGCGATCAGACGTCGTCAGTACAACCTGTGCAACCAGACGTCGTCAGTACAACCTGTGCGATCAGACGTCGTCAGTACAACCTGCGCGATCAGACGTCGTCAGTACAACCTGCGCGATCAGACGTCGTCAGTACGATAGATCATCGTGCACTCTCGGGGGACATCATCCTGCATTGAAGTAGTTTAAGCATATTGTCATGCATTGAAAGAGTATCATAATAAAGTGAATTGAATGAATTAATCCGTCATCACTCTACAGAGTCGAAGATGACAAAATGGAAGTGCTATATATAAAAAAATAAAATGCTATATAAGAGAATAAAATGCTATATATAATAGAATAAAATGCTATATATAAGAGAATAAAATGCTATATATAAGAGAATAAAACGCGATATATAAGAGAATAAAACGCTATATATAAGAGAATAAAATGCGATATATAAGAGAATAAAATGCAATATATAAGAGAATAAAATGCGATATTAAAAACCCTGGGGAATAGCACAATCGCAACACAAAAGCCCCGGTCAAATATTAAATGAAAAACCCTATGGAAAAGCACAATCGCAGATAAAACATTACATCAACGGAATAGTTCAAGAGATTCAATGAGAAATGTGTAAATTTTTGTTCTTGATATTGCAAACCAGGCATCTATAGCAGCTGCATGCACAAAAGCCCCGGTCAAATATCAAATGAAAAACCTGAGGAAAAGCACAATTGCAGCACAAAAGCCCCGGTCAAATATCAAATGAAAAACCTGGGGAAAAGCACAATCGCAGCACAAAAGCCCCGGTCAAATATCAAGTAAAACCTGGGGAATAGCACAATCGCAGCACAAAAGCCCCAGTCATATATCAAATAAAAAACCCTGAGGAATAGCACAATCGCAACACAAAAGTCCCAGTAAAATATCAAATAAAAAACCTAGGGAAAAGCACAATCGCAGATAAAACATTACATCAACGGAATAGTTCAAGAGATTCAATAATAAATGTGTACAGTTTTGGTTCTTGATATTGCAAACCAGGCATCTATAGCAGCTGTAAGCACTAAAGCCCCCAGTCAAATATCAAATAAAAAACCTGGGGAAAAGTACAATTGCAGATAAAGCATTAAATCTACGGAATGGTTTATGACATCAAATAATAAATGTGTACATTTTTGTTCCTGATATTGCAAACCAGGCCTCTAGGTGGAAGTGGGTGCCGTGCATAAACTTGGTATTTAAAATTATTTAGGACTCTTGATGAGAGAGCAAATCAAGCAAGATTATGTGCATTACGTTTGAAGATTACATATTGATAGCCTACATAACTGTTTTTATATACTACAAAAAATTAACCTTATTCAAAAGTTACTTTTTGAATATGTACATTGAAAAAAGCAAGACAACAGAGATCCTGAGGTAATGCTAATTTCCATCGTTTTGCTCATAGAATTCATAAAAAATATAACTCAGTACTCACTGCAGTGAGTGACAGAGAGCGCATTTTCTCGTTGACGAAAACTTGAGGTCACGGACGGACAGACATACGGACGGACGAACATGGCGAGCACTATAGCGCCTTTTTTCTACAAATGAGGAACTGCGCTAAAAACAAGCAAGAAAGCATTGATACTTGCACAATAACTTCTTCATCTGCTGCCAAAACCAAGCTGGTCATAATCAACCAGCAGATGTACATGAATAACAATGCTCACCTCAAGTGAATTTCTTCGACTTTCAGGGGATATTTATTGAAGTAAGCTTACTCTCTTGGTACTTTTTATTATTATGAAATATCAATTTGAAAAAATCTGCCTCAAAAGAAATCACAGCATAAAAACTCCCACAGTTTCTCACGAATTGGGGTACAATATTGATGAATTAAACCTACCTTTGAGGCACTGTAATTTGGTGTGATTTCTCCTCTATTTACTATTAACCTAATTTTGCTATTTATGTGGTATATACCTCCTTTCACTATTAACCTAATTCACTATTAACCTCCATTTACTATTGACCTAATTTTGTTATTTATATATATATATATATATATACCTCCATTTACTATTGACCTAATTTTGTTAATATGAGTATATTGTTAGAAGCACTTACTTTTTCTATATTTATCATCTATTCTGGCAAGCAGAAGATCCTGCACTGACGCCTCTTCATCAGACGAGGACAAATCTGAGCAGTCACTGCTTGGTGAGAGATAAAAGCAACGACACTTCTTATATTCCTTCCACTTGTACCTGGTGAGAGTAAAGAATTATTGATTGCTAATTTTTAATTATTAATTGCTAAATAATTAATTACATAGATATGAAATATATAAATATTGGTACATGAAAGAGTGAGAGATAAAAGCAGCGACACTTCTTATATTCTTTCCATTTGTACCTGGTAAGAGTACAGAATTATTGATTAATTGATCATTAATTAATTATATAGATATGAAATAAATAAATATTGGTACATGAAAGAGTGAGGTGTCGAATTAGTGGCACTTTTTAGATTATTTTCACTTGATTCTGGTTTAGAACAAGTCAATGGAAGCAAACTTTGATGAAGCTTGACAGTGAAATTCACTTAAATGTGAATACCGTATTATGTATAAAAAATATTCAGGAGCAATAGCAACACAAAATTCAGGAGATTTTCTCAAATAACTCAGTACAAAAAAAAAAAAAATTAACAGTTCTTTCTATACTTATTATCATTAATGGCACTAAAAAACACCATATTACTGTCAACAAGATACTGAATAAGTTGTCAATATTCTTAAATGATGCAAGCTAAATATTAATAATAAATATTAATAATTAAATACAAAATTAATAATTTGACATCTCATAAGCTCTTCCTATTCTCATTTTTTCAACAAGATTTTATGTGGCATTAGAAGCCGATCAGAGTGATATTAATTTCTTCCATTACTGCAACCTTTACCAATTCATTATCAATGCAGATTCGACCTTATCATAATTATTTAGTACCTAGCTAACAAAATAAGAAAGCCCAAATTTCCAATAAAAATTCATCAGATCATAAAAACAGTGACATAACTGAAATATTGGGGGTTTAAATGTTGTGCACCATTTGATTGCAACTGATATCTTTTAATGTATATTTTAGAGATCTTTAATTTAGTGCAGGTTAGAATGACATCTCAGGACTCGTCAGACTCAATTTGCACAATGGCACTTTTTTCAGTAAAATTGAACACAAAAATACTGCATGCAATTGAATTAAAATCCATCTGAATTCAATACATTAAATGTAAATCAAATGGGCTAAAGGAATCTTTGAATTATGCCTAGTGCAAAAAATAAATGGTCGAACAATGAATTAAATTAATAATCTTGATTTATACTGCAAATTCTTTAGTGTATTTCTACAAAAAAAAAATCAAATTCTTGCATATGGCAATCAAAAGGATTGGCTGATAACCATTGAAAATGAAGTTAAATTAGAAATGAAAGGAAGGGATAACCACATGACTTCAAAATAACAAAGAGTTCTTTCATAAAGCTAGATAATTTCAAATCAGAAAATATGATCTCCAGGGCCCATACTTTCAAAGTATGGTAAGAGATCGTAAGTTCATCAGCCAATCATTGACGGCCTTTCAAGCAAAGTCCACCAATCATAGACAAGAAAATAGAGCGTAAGTACTTACGTTCACTTAGCGAGTTTTGAAAATATGAAATTAGAGCGTACCGTAAGTACCCGGTACTTACGTTCACTTAGCGAGTTTTGAAAATATGAAATTAGAGCGTACCGTAAGTACCCGGTACTTACGTTCACTTAGCGAGTTTTGAAAGTATGGCCCCAGAACTGTCATTATTACTACAGTCATAATGAGACTCACGCAATAGTCACGAGCTCGCCATTCTTCTTCTTGGTTTCATCCAGCGGGAAGGCCTGTGTTGGCTCAAGAGCAGCAGATTTCACCTCGTACTCTTCAACAATCTTGTCAAGTAACTTCTGCAGATCCTGAACACCAGAGTAATTAAATAGAGAAATGTGTTGATTGAAGAGTTAATAATGCCTAATCTAGAAGTTTTAGTGTCTTCTCAACTTGTTAAGTATACCATAGTTAAAGTTTGTGAGGGAGAGGGGGTGCCATAGGACACATGGACTTTTCCCTTGCAATTCATCATTCGCCCTTTTCTCTTGTGAAATTTTTCATCATACGTGTTCACAAAAAAAAATTCATTATGTTTTGCAACATAACTCCATGATAAAACTTTCATAAAAATTTTGAATACAAATATCTTATATATTTATAAACTTGCTAATTTAAATTTAATGAATCCCTGAATTTAAGCCCCAATTATCAAATAACTGTTTTGATATTTATGCTATAAATTAAATATTCCAGATCAGAAAAGAATTCAACTAGTATTATTGATAATTCATTGCTAACATTAATAATTTGTTTCAAAGTAAATAGCAATGTTCTTTACCAACTGATATGGAACTCTCCATAAATTATTCTTGTAGTTGAGAACATGTAAAGCTTACAATAACATCAAATAAACACAAAACCCAAAAAAATGATCTCCAAATTTTGAATGCTTTTTTTAGTTATAAGAGGTACAGTGAGTAATTTTAGCTAGATTATATACAAGCTTTGTTAGTTTGATAATTTATAATTGCAAGTAAAAAAATTCAATCCGAATGCTTTGATTGTATCTACAATTAATTAATAATGATTAAAAAACAATAATGGACAAGCACCCAGAATGAATTATTACAAATAATCACGGTTAAAAACAACAAACTATTGAGCATCATTTTAAAACTTTAAAAAAGCCAAGCAATGCATTCAGTGGTACCGGTATGTAACCCTCCTTAAAAACATCTCTCGACTCAACCATTTCCCAATTAAACACATGGGTAAACTGATTCGGTCCCTTCAACACAATTCACAATTTATTACTGCTATTTTGTTGCTCTTTGCTCTGCTTTTTGTGCTTGATATTTTTACATAATCTGGTGCAATTATTCCTAATCGTGACCCAGTCTATAATCCCCTCCCTATACAAATGAACTAAGAATATGGAGCAAGTTAGTTTCATGGAATATATACCAATACAGATTCGACCAATACAAGACCGCAAAATGCTGTGAATGTTCGGCGATGTTCAGAATCGGCAACAGGCCTACGGCCTAATAAACGCTGAAACCGCTATTACTATTACCAATACACTTGGTTGGCTGATACATAAAAACATTCAACTGTTGCCTTCATGAACATTGTACTCACCTGCCAGTGGTGCAGGTGCATCCATTTCTCTGTGAGGTGAGGTAAGGTAATCTCAACACCTGACGAGTCTCTGTAAGAGGTTACTGGAACAGGACGTACTTCTGTTACCAGCACTCTGTCCTCCTTCACCTGCTCAGTGAAAACTTACTATTAGCAGAGATCCATAAAAAAATCAACATTGGTCTCTGTAAGAGGTTACCTACTGGAACAGGACATACTTCTGTTACCAGCACCCTGTCCTCCTTCACCTGCTCAGTGAAAACATATTAGCAGAGATCCATAAAAAAAATCAACATTGGTCTCTGTACGAGGTTACTGGAACAGGACGTACTTCTGTTACCAGCACCCTGTCCTCCTTCACCTGCTCAGTGAAAACTTATTAGCTGAGGTCCATAAAAAATCAACATTGGTCTCTGTAAGAGGTTACTGGAACAGGACGTACTTCTGTTACTTGCACCCTTTCCTCCTTCACCTGCTCAGTGAAAATTTATTAGCAGAGATCCATAAAAAAATAAACATTGGTTTCTGTAAGAGGTTACTGGAACAGGACGTACTTCTGTTACCAGCACTCTGTCCTCCTTCACCTGCTCAGTGAAAACGTATTAGCAGAGATCCATAAAAAAATCTGTACTTCTGTTACCAGCACCCTGTCCTCCTTCACCTGCTCAGTGAATACTTATTAGCAGCGGTCCACTGTGCAGAGAGTGGATGAATATTGCAAGATCTTTGGCGACGCTTCAGTAGCAAAATTTACACCTTCAGAAGATCTTGCCGACACATTTAGATTGAAATTCGTGCATTTAATATATCTGTCAGTCTTTCGCCAACTATTTAAAAAAAAGTAAGGCTTCCAGTATGTTGGATGGATCAGGATGCAGTGAAGCTTGTCCGGAAATCAGTTGCGATGAGTTTCCACAAAAAAAAAATGTAAACATCAAGTTTACGATTACGTAGTTGCGGTCACATTAGAGCAGTCAGACTGAATTATCACATGTTCAGTGGACACTTGCTGTACAATTGGACTGTTTTTAGGGTAAAATTAGTTATTTGGGGTAACACGTGCATGCAACCTTGTAAATAGTTTTTCATTACTCAGTGTAAATGGCTTTTCATTAAAAATTACCTGGCGCCGGATCTTAAAATTACCCGGCGACGCTTAGGGCTTAAAAACCCATATATTGGCGATGCTGTAGCCACCCTCTGCATAGTGGGCAGCGGTCCATAAAAAATCAACATGAGTGAATAAATTCATGACAACACAAATTAAACAGTAGAAGCAGTAACAGAGAATACTTATTAGCAGCAGTTAATACAGAATGAATGTGAGTGAATTAATGCCTAGCAATAGAGATCAAATTGTTAAATTTTTAAACATAGGAACCTGCCTATAAAATTATGAAAATGAAGGTATCAACAAAAATTTCAAGTAAAAACATCTAATGTGAGAAGAAATGAAATGCAAGATGAGAACAAGTTAAATGATTACTTAAGGTGTCAGACCACCACATACATAAATGAATTTATTCACTCTATTGAACAATGTCAACTGATTTTTCAATTTTGATTTTCAGAAAGCACATTATCATTTGAAGAAAAATTATGTATCACTCCTAATTAAGCACATTGCTGACAAGTTAAATAAGGAAGATGAGACAGAGAGACATTATCATTGATGCTATTTTTAGTAAATGTATAAGACAGGACTATTGAAAAATTTAGTGTAACACAGAAATTGGAGAAACAAAATTAAAAACATGGCATGAAACTTACCTTTAAAAAATCAATGTATTTTCCATATATTTTCATGCCAATGATATACCCTCTTCAAGGCACAAGTGGTAGAAAAAGGTAATTGGTAATTAAGTTTAGTGAGCTTGAAACAAGCAAAAATAAATCAATGCATGGAACTGAACTCTGAGTTTCAACCCTGAAAGGAAAAAAAATATGTTCATTATAATCAGACAAGAGAAATATATGTGTAGAAAACAGGAAGAATTTGACATGCGATTAAGCTTTCAACAGTTTCACAGAAATATTCCTTGAAATTTGCGGGTTCCCTTCATTTGAAATGGGAATGATTTTGTATCTACTTAGGAAGTTAGGAAAGCTTATTTTGAACTTCTGCAAATAACATGAAACAAAGAGCTTTTTCTGTCTTTTGTTCCAAATGGTACCAGGAAAGTTTGGAATCATGCAGTCTAATCATGTACTTCTGTCAATGATTGGATAGGTGGCGATTCATCTAGCAGAAACCTTGGGCTCTAAAAATTGCGGAGAAGCTCTGGTTGCAACTTGAAATGTAAATATATTACCATCTGATTGCTACTCAGTTTCTTTTTAACAGTAACTTTTCCATAAACTTGCATATAGTAGAAATTCTAGCAAAAAAATTATTGTTATCATATACTTATACTCTAGTCAAATATTAAAAATAGTTATGACTTATATGTACTGTCAAACAGGGTAATAAGGGATGGGCGGGGTAAATAGGGACGGTCGTCCCGCATTTCATAATGTTATAGCAGCTAAACTAATCCTAAAAACTAAAATAAGTCGCATTTTTTTCTATCTATGTAGCATAAAGCAAGGAATAATGGATTTTCAGCGCCTTTTTTTCCATAAATGAGAAAATGTGTTAAAAAATCTCTGAAAAAAGTGTGAAAAGTGAGATTTTTTAAACGTACTTCTGCTAAGATCTGTATAAAAAAATATATTCACCGTATTAGAAAATTTTACTTAAATAAAAGTTGCACACAGGTGTTGGCTTAAAACGTGACTGATGGAGTCTGACAAATGTTTTAGCTTTTATGGGCATTTCTCAACATTTTGTATTGATTAATTTAATCAAAAAAATTCCTTTTCTTAGGTCCTCATCATCGGCCTCATGTGCTGGTCAGGTTAAATTTTTCTAAGCAAATTTTAAATGTAAAATTTCACATTTTCTTGAAGTTTCAAATGATTTGCTGCCTTTTATTTTTTGTGACCCTGGTCTGGGCCCAGCATGATGTGCCCATACCCCATAAAAGATTCACAGTTTATTGCATAATTTTGTGTGATATTGAAAACTTTGTTGGTATTGGTAAAATAGTGAAAATTTTCATTTTTTTTAGATAAAATGTATTGCACAAATGTGTCAGACACGGATATAAATGACAAGTGAATATAATCAAATCAAGGAAGGCGTCATTGACATGGTATCAGACTTCAAAGCGAGTTCAAACCATGTGTGATGTCGGAAGAGTGTCAATTTCTGATGAACTCAGTGTATTGTTTGTCAGTGCAGTGGTGAGTGGAAGGCATAATCTGGTAAGCTTTTCAAATTTTGATCCATTTTCTTATGTAAACTTGAGAGTTGACGCTTGAGAATATACTACCTATCCAGAAATCCCCAGTCCACACTGGATCATAACTCCATGTCTCTACCTAAATTTGGTATCATCCTTACATCCTAAATTGAATGGCAATGATAGGATTTGGTAATTATTTTGCAAACCTCATTTTTAATTGGTAATGAAAATGTCTATTTCAGAACAGTTCTTGAATACACTTGTGAAAACTGAAGTTCTGTAATCGATAGAGTCTTCGAAATCACAAAATCATTAAATATAAAATATTTAGTTATATGAGTGAGATCATCAATTATCATAGAAGCTGTAAGAAAAAATAATTGTTTTTGACAATACAATACTTGATTTTTAGAAATACGATGCAAAAATTAATGATCCCAATTAGAATTCAACAGAATATTAGATCCCTATTAGAATTCAATTCAACATTTCTCATTCAGAAAAAGTTGGTACCTATTTGAAATTTATGATTTTACAAATTGCTTGAATGCAGTGCAGAAATTCAAAATCACCTTGGAGTGTGAATTTAAGTCCCATGACTGGAGAAACCTTCACAATTTATTGTACAATCACGTAAGATTGATATAAGCTTTTTGTCCCCTCGATGAACAGAGTTTATTTAGGTTCTATTGACTGTAACAGGAAGAACAATGCGATTCGACATATTAGCGGCCATCCAACAATCGGTCAATGGCTTTGATACACTGTATGGTCAAACTGTACAAATATTGTGGTAGACACATCATCCAAAAGTTTCAATGCAAAGATTCTTATTTAACCCTAATCGCGCAGGGTGAGCTGGAAAATGCCCTTATTTTCTAATACCCACAGTAAAAAAGTAACCACGAATCTCACAGCCTTGTCTGTTGCGATACTCTTCAACTGAGGTCTATTCTTGGTGTTGGAACAATAATATTTTAGCTATTTTGATCTATAATGATAAGGTGGTTCAGTGGTTCCCAAAGTGGGCGATATCGCCCCCCTGGGGGCGGTAGAAGGATATTTGGGGGCCTCTGGAAAGATCTGTGTTTGACCATTCTCTTTCAAAATTGCAGCATACTAAATATCAAGAAAGAGGTGTTTGTTTTTGTATGTGTCTGTCACCGGGGGGCGCTAGAGATTCACTGGGGAGCCCAGGGGGGTGCCAGCCTGAAAAAGTTTGGGAACCACTGAGGTAGATCATTAAGCAAACCACATATAAACATTTGCTACCGAGTAAGCGGACTCACGTGCCGGCAGCGAGCTACGCCCCTGTCGGACTCATGATATCAGTGTCCAACAAGCAACGGAGGTGGACGGTATACTCAAGCTTCCCGCTCCGCTGATGCATCTCATTTCATGCAGTTCTTTCAATGGCAGGCAATGAACTTGCAGAAAATGAGATAAAAAACAATAGGAACAAAGAAACTGAGAGAAACTAGTGATGAGGATGAAGGAGTTGCACCAGTGCTGGAGCTGCATATGCACCAGCAATAAATATGCACATGTTCTCAGGCACACGCACACGTGAATGACTTACAGTCTCGTCCACATGGGTAACATAGACACAAGTTTGAGCGGTCGCAGTTGTCGTACACGGGATTACGGGAGTGGCTCTGCTTGAGTACAGAAATTCAGTCCTTTCATTCTCACAATTTTTAAAAATAGGTTCGAGTTCACAATTGTGCATTTGAAGACTGCATTTGATAGGAAACAATCTATATTAATGGCTGGTAAAATAATCGCAGCATATGTAAAATAGAAGACACCTAAAAAATACTTAACAGAATTAAGGGCAG